TAATGAAGGGGAAGTGATCCTGTGTCTTTTGTTTCTATTATAACCTAATAAAGTTCCACTGAAAACACTATATGTAAATGTAAAGTTACTAATCAGTTGTTAGCATAACTATTTTGTACATGCCATAGTAATGACATCTTAATTCTTTCTAATCTCACCCCTTCAAAGTGGGACACAACAGGAATGGTGGGAGAGGAGGTGATGTGGTGATGGAAATAGGCATGATTTTCAGACTCTTAACATTTTGTTAGTAATGTCGTATAGTTGGTGTAGTTGGGACAAAGTTAAAATATTAGCTTTCTCTAGGAGCTGGGAGTCTGGCAAGGGTTGAAACTGCCTGTGCTCTGTGAGTGTCGCTGGCGAGGTCAGTGTGACGGTGTGTGGTTGGGATTTAGTGCGTTCAGTCCCAATTAAACAACATACTTGAGCTCTGGTAATGTTCAAAGGGTTTTAGGGAGATTTGCCATAATTAACATAGACATAGAAGGGTTATTTCTGTCTGGTTAAGTACTGGTGTTTCCCCGTGTAAATATGACAGGGTGCATGGACACTTTCTGGCATTTCAAGTTTTTAACTCTACCTCCTTAGATTTAACACCAAACTGATTTGGTAGCTAGAAACAGTGGTGTGCAATCTCTAGCTATGCTCAAAGATTTTTTTTTTTTTTTTTTTTGTCACTTTGTCCCAGGGGAGATTTTGCAGCGTACCTGTAGGCCTGTGACGGAATGCTATTATGTAAAACAGATACTGGGAGACTCCCTAATCCACCTCCAATCCCTGTATTAAGGGAGACATCCGCTTTACTGCACATGCAGTATTGAATTAGAAATCCAACCTGCTGCCACGCCTTCCCAGCCTGATGTGTCATCCTTCTTTTCTTAAATACTACTCAGATACTGTTCAGTCTCACCTGAACTAAACATTTTGGTATTTAAGAGCTTTTTATCAAAACGTTTCTTACAAGCTTGTGTATTCTGGGGAGCAAACTGAAATTTTTCAGTTGCTCCAGTGACTGATTACATACCACATCCCTGTGAAATGCTGGGTAGCTTGTTTTTTAACAATTACATGGTACCAGCTAAGCTTTTTGAATTGTTGATTCTTTAAATTTAAATGATCAAATCCTCAGAGTGCAGGTGCAACAGTTGTGTTACACCTAATAGAGGACAAACTGCAGTAGAAAACCTGAAACAAACACATTTTTTTCGTAACTTGTGAGATGCATCGCTGATAGTCTTTCCTGTGGGGCCTGCTCTCCCAGGGTTTACAGTGCAATAATATGAAAGTTAATGTGGTTGAAACACTATTGTTGCCTTCTCTCACATTTTTCTCTCATTTTTAAAGTGCAATATTATCTGAATATTGTCCTGCTTTTCTGCACAAGTTGACTCTGTTAGAGAGATTTTAAAGCATTTTTTCAGGGTCATGCCTGCTCTCACGACCTAAAGGGTTACCCAGCCTGCGGGTACATAGAGATTATGACTGTGGGTTGGTAGGATTTTGTAACATACAAAGACATGGAGGTTTTTTACTCTAAATTTCTCTATTTTATTACAGATTTCCACAAATAACATGAAAGTCACCACTAGCAACTATACCTGTGATTGATAAAGCAAATCTATATGTGAATGAAAAAAAAGTATGTCTATGCATATATATAAAAAGCTGTTATAGATTATTGTCAGCAGTCAGTAGTATGGCAACAACCAAGCAGGTGTATGCTATTAAAGGTTACTACAAATTTGTCACTAGTGTTGCAAACTTATCAATAATATAGTAGCAGAAATGATAGATTACTTATATGCGCATATATATATATGTATGTTCAGAATAATGCCAGTGTCAAGGTTATTAGATAGATCTCAGAAGGTCCCAAATCATCCCAGAGGCGGTGACAAACTGATCCTAGTGGGGGACCTAACCATCCCAGAAGTGGGAGGACAAACCAAAACCTCCCTGGCGAGGGTCCAAAATCTCTTAGAAAGTTTCTGCAGAGAGTTCAGCCCATTTAGGAAAGGATAAGTATGTGCAGCATTGGAAGTTCTCAGAGAAGCTCCATTTTGGATAAAAATGAAGTGATTTTTATATCATACAGAAATAGAGGTGTAGGCACGACCGCTTCAGCAGCCAATAGATGCTGTTGATTTCTATTTTTCACCTGGAATAGCCAATAGGTGTTGATGTTTTCTGTTCCCTCACGCCAGTGTTTGTTTTTCCAGACTGTTTTGCTGTTCTTGCAGATAGAACAGCCAATGGCAGTTACCGACTCTTACTTTCTCAACATGTTTTCCCTTTTCCAAGACTGTTTTTCACCTTTTCAGGTGATAAGGTGCTTCTACATTTCCTTGGTTTTGCTCTTACCAATGGTATCTCAGGATGTCTCTTTTTTTTAGGTACCCAGCTGTGTACTTGTAAGAGGCGAGATTAAATTCTCAAGGATGCTTCTAGTTCCCAGGCTGGCAGACGTTTTCTCTGTCAGCATTCCAGCACATGGTTTCTTCTGTTCAGTAATTTTCTGCTTCTAACCAAGTCACCTTTGTAGCTGGTCACATCACCTGCATATCTGGTTGAGATGTACACTGAGCCTCTTGTAGTATTTTAAAGTTTCTTGCCCAACAGGAGATAGGGAGCTGAGATTGATATAACTGGGAGGGAAACTATGGAAGCTGATTAATCTTGGACATGAAGCTTGACCTTTTATGTTTTACCCTTTTGTGTGTGTGTGGAAAGCAGGAGGATCTTGGAATTCTGTTTGAAGATGAAATCCAAGGACCACTCTGTTATCATCGTCAAGGACAATATTGATCTGTGTAGCTCAACAGATTTCAATACAGGCTCTTCTCAAGGATCCATGACCTCTGCTTTTTGTAGCCAACTTCACTTGTTCTACAGGAGGAGCCCCCAGGGCTAGAGAAATGTCCTCTGTAAGTTCAGTTCAGCTTGGCCAAATTGTAGATTATTTCAGGGGAGAGAGCAAGGAAGAGCACCCACCGCCCCCTCCCCCCCCGGTTTGTGTTGCTTAGCAAATGTAAAGTGTTTAGCTAACCAAACACAGAAGTTTTCCAATGCCAGACCACACTGCTGCCAAAGTAGCAACAAATGCTGCTTCAAAGAGTTGGAGGGGCCAGAGCAGTTGTAGTGTCGTGGATTTAAATTGTGAATTTAGGAAATGCCATGAAATGTGAAGCTGTGGCAATCCTTAAGATTGTTTCCTTTCCTTGAGATGCTGTATTTTTTGTTTTGTTTTTAGTTCTACCTTGTTTGTTGTGTACCCTTAACTCTGCCTCTTTGCATAAAGAAATTCTCCATCTCTGGCACTGCTTGTCCTCTTGGTGGACAAGTTTCTGGGGGTTTTGTTTTGTTTTTAATAGAACAAGATGTAGCGCAATCAGAACAACTGGAATTAAAGAAGCTGCAAGATCTGAGTAGACTTTCAAGGTCATTGAGGTTAATTTACACTACTTGTGGTTTTCTTATGTACACACGATGCATAGTCACTTCCTCTTTAAAAAAAGAATGTACTTAATGAAGAATTTTTTCCCTTTAATGGTCTTGAGAAGATAACATCCCTATAAAGCCTTGGAACTTTTTGCAATATTTTCATGGTATTGCACAAGCTCCAGTCCACTTGAAGTGCAGCAGATGTTTCCCCTCAGCTGTGTGCGTGATTTTGTTCTGGAACAAGGTGAGCCCTTGAAAGTAGGGTAAGCTACTTATAAACATAGTTTTCTTGTTGGATTTAAAATTCCTTGTGGACACATAATTAGGAACAGCTCCATGTATAGATATGCCCTTATGTCCATATCTTTCCATTTATTTACAGGAGAGACAATACCTGTTGCAACAGTGAAAGTTCCCTACCCAACCCTTGGGAATAAATGTCAGTCTTAGTTGCTGGAGGATAACTTGGTTTCTGTGCTCCGACTCTTCTTTCTGGGGTCATTAGGGTCATTAATAAAGTGTCAGTGGTGAGATGACAGCCCTCCTTTCAGTTTGGTGGAGTTCAACCTGTAGCCTCGCGGTGGAAGCAGACCCATTGTACCGTCATCTCGATTCGTGTATCTTTTTCTCGTCTCTCCTAATTCCATGCTCTAAACCTCTTAGTGCTGTAGGAATACAGATAATCTACTGTTACCTAGCTTGCCCAGCGGATAAAATCATTGTAGATACTGCAGAAGGGCCTCCTGCAGAGGGGGGAGAGTTTATCACTTCTAAATCTTTGCACTAGGGCTTCAGACCTTCTCAACACACACAATGATTGCAGAGTAAGTTTTTTTTTTGTTTAAAAAGAAAAAAAGCCCCCAAGATTCCCAGTCTTATTTTCATTATATCTCTTGTACACACATCTCTTGTATACCTGTCTGGGAAAAGTGATCAATCATAATGACCCCGTTGTAGCTCTAGAGTAAAATAAGGTCATGAACAAGAACACTACTGGGACAAACAAGCAAGGCTAATTAGCCAGAAAAAAGCCTTATGGATAGTTGATAGTTCTCATGAAAAAAGTTGTGCGAGTGTGGTATGTGTTTGTATAAGTAAACAAATTACATACATAAATTAAATACAGAAATTATTCGTGGAATTTAGTAGGGCAATCTGTAACCTTGGAAAAGGGTAAAAATCTGAACTTTTTTCCTTGTTACAACCACTGGATTTAGCGTTACACAGCCTTTC